AGTTCTAGGACAGCCTCCAAAGCCACAGAGAAACCCTGTCTTGAAACTTCCCCCTCCAAAAAAAATTACATTTTCCCCTTTAAAATGTATCCCCAAGCTGGGTGGTGGTGGTGCATGCCTTTAATCCCAGCACTCAGGAGGCAGAGGCAGGCGGATCTCTGTGAGTTCGAGGCCGGGCTGGATCGTCAGCCTCCAAAAACAATACAGAGAAACCCTGTTTCATAAAAATAAAACAAAAAAAATGTATCCCCAAAGTTCCCCATTCGCATTAGCCCTAACACTCTTCGGAAGTCATTCCCTTGCACTCACACTGAAAGTTCCTCTGTGGCATTCCCAGATTACATTTCTCCTCACCTTTTGAATGTTTCTGTTAACTATCCTGAATAGTCTTTGAAAAAATCATGCTAAAAACCCTCCAGTGCTTTTCAATTGGATTTGCATAAAATATAGTGTCAGACTGGGGCCTATACTGACCTATTCAAAGTGGAGCATCTCCTTCAAATTCAACATCTGTCATTATCTGGAATTATTGTTATTATTATTTCGTTGTTTGTTGTCTGATCCATCCCCATTACCCACTCTCTTACCCCAATCTGGTATAGAAAGTTAGTGTTATAGGGCAGTGACATTGCCATATTGATCACCAGACACCCCACCCTGGCATACTGAGGCTGTAATCATTGTACTTGGATGAATGAAGGTACATATTACCTTTTATAGGAGAAGCAAACTTGTGGCCAGATAGTTTTGCCATGTCAAGACTTTTGATTACTTTGGATTTTAATTTACATATATAAGAATATTGGCTTAAATATAGAAGAATTCCCTGCCTGAGTCCTGGCTTGGATTTGGGTTTGCCTAGACTTATGGCAATGAACTGTTAATTCAGGTAGAAGTCTTCTAACCCTGACCCTGGAAGGATTCTCCAAAGAGAAGTTATCAGAAGGTAAGATTTCTTAACCCAAGGTTCATGAATAGAATCCATGAGAAACATGAATAACATGAATAGCTTGAAGCTTAGCATTTACCCCAATTTTGAACATAGGTGACAAATCACAATAATGCTAGCATATTTGCAGCTCTAGAATAGGTAGAAAGCATAGATATTTGCATATATCATTATCATATATATTTGCATATATCATTACAACATATTTAGATGTCTCAAATATTGTTTACTCATACACTATTTAATTGTTGTGTTAAATACGATGGTTGATTGCTTAATGTGTTAATAATAAACAGTTGAATTATCTTATAAAATTTGTTTTAAAAATAAAAAAATATTGGCTTAGCTATAGAAACAGGATCCCTTAATATTGCAAATATCAGCCACATTAGTATATCTGTAGGACTTCCTGCTGTATCCTCTCAAAGGTTTTCAAGAGCTAAATATAAAGTGGGAGAGATGCCTGCTGATATTCTTTGTTTTGCAACCCTGTCACACTGGCATTTATTTAAAAAAATGGTTAACTTGCTAACATAGTGACACACACCTATGATTCCATCATTTGAGAGGCAGAGGCAGGAGGATCATTTAAAGTTTGATTCTAGGTTGCTCTACATAGCAAAATCTAGGCCAACTAGGACTATATAGCAAGATACTGCCTCCAACAAAACAAAAGCTGAACATTAATGCAGAAAAATTAAGCTACAAAAAATAGGGATGTCCTATGATAGTTTATTGAGGAAGAAATCACTTACGCAAGAAGTCAAGAAAACCGGAGAACCAAAGGTCTGCACATTGCTTCTCCAGGCCAAAAACGGAACCCAAAGAGAGAGAGTTCCCTCCCCTCCTAGCCCTTTTCTACCCCGTATGTTCTATGTACCTGTGACCACGCCTAAACGGGTGTGTCAGCGCTACAGGTACGTAGATCTCTCCCTATAGAACATTGTTTTGATCTTTCCTGTCCAAGTCCAGCAAGTTGTAAATGGACTCAGCAGTAGTTTTCCCTGCGTGCCACCTCCTAATCTCCACTCGGTTGCTAGCTATTCCAGTGCAGACCCATTCCTGTGGTAGACTTTCTCCTTTTTCTCCGTTCTTCCCCCCTTTCCCTTTCACGTTAGTTTATTTAGTGTATGTGTGTGAGAGTCAGTTTCCTCCTTCACCATGTGGGCTATCAGGTTGTCAGGCTTGGTGACAAACATCCTTGCCCTCTGAGCCATCTCAGCCCTCTGGTGGGCTTCCCACAACCTTAGTGCCACAGGTTCACTCTGTGTCTCTTAGTCCGTCCCTCCTTACGTTCCTTACTTCTTGTCATGACTACTCAACAAGGTATTTCATCATCTTCACGAAGTTCCATGCTGTATAACTTGTCGTGGATTAAGAACAAAGTGGGTTTCCACACAGTTTAAATAGTTTTTGAGCAGCTTAAATACTCAAAATTCACCGAATTAAAAAAAAGAAGAGATGAAAAATGTGAGAAAGAAAAAAAAAGAAACAAAATAAGGCATTGAAAATGCTGTAAAGCAGACTGTTTCTAGAAGTAAAGGAGATAAAACTAAAAGATATTCAATTAAAGTAGGTTATTCAGTCGAAAAGGACTAGGAACAGGGGTGCTCCCTTCTCAACTATTGCTTCAGGTAATTGTAGTGTTGAGAGTCAGAGGAGAGAGATGGATGGAGGAGGAAAACAGAGCACCAGGGTGGGCCTGAAAACCTTTTGGAAAGATCTTTATATATGTGTTGAAACCTAAAACTTAGAGGAAATAAGTAGAACAAAATTTACTAACATTTTAAAAGAAGTAAATTGCTAAGGAAGCACAAACCTGGTTTCAAAAATATATTAACTATGGAGACCTAAAACATCTCTTGCCGGATTCCTTGCACCAGCAGGAGGCTGGCTGTGGGAGCTGAGTAACTTCAGGCTTTTAAGATGCTCTCACAGTAGGATCCCACAATTGCAACAGACCTAAAGATGCTGTGTGGCTCCTCTGTTCCAACCTATGGTTTGAATTAACTGTTCTGTTTCTGTGCTGGCAGTGTGTATTGGATTTATGTAGAGTGAGAGGGCTTGGTGGGCAAATAACCTTCCCTTGTTGTTAATAGGTCATTGATCACCAGGAGGCCTGATGGAGAGAACAGATACTTCGAGCTGGGTGTGTTGTGCAGAGGAAACTGAGAAAGGTATCTGTTGACTGCAGACCATGTTAGGGACTGGCAATGGTAACCAAAGTCTTTTGTTTGCCTTCTAGATGCATAGAAAGCTCATACACTTGAAGTAAGGAGCCAGTGAAATGAATTTGGAGGACTAACAGTAGCTGGAATTGTTGTTCAATACTTTCAGCTCTGACTTTCTAAATCTCCCTGGAGATCCTCCACAATGCAGTGGATCCAGATAAGGCATAAAAAATAGGAGATCTATAAGAAGGAAGGATCCTGGGTCTCCGAATAACTATGTAGAGCAGATCCTTTGACATGCATTGAAATGATGTGAGTAAGAAGTATTTACTGTGTTAAATGTTTTAGTGAATAAATGTTTATTCTGCTGAGATTTTGGAATCACCTGCTATGTACCTTACATACACCAGCCTGCCTGTAGAATGCAATTATTAAAGCAAAGAATATCTTAGTTGTTTTACTTATCACACTTCAATGTTCTTTTTAATATTATATTTATTTATTTGTGTGTGTGTGTGTGTGTGTGTGTGTGTGTGTTTGTGCACCAAATGCATGTGGAGGTCAAAGGACAATTTGTGGAAGTCATTTCTCTTCTTCCACCATCATGTGGGTCCTGGAGATCAAATTCAGGTCTTCAGGCTTGATGGCAAGCACCTTTACCTGATGAGCCATCTTGCCAGCCCATGCTCTTTCATTTTTTTTCACCCAGTAGAGCTGGTGTTCTCTAGTTGCATGGTCCCCACCAATAGACTTAACCAATTAATAATCAAAAATATTAAAAAGTCGATTGCTTCTGCGCTGAATACTGTGTAGATGATTTCTTGTCATTCTATGAGCAATAAATGACTATGCAGCATTTATTCTGTATTAGGTATTATAGATAATCCAGAGATGACTTAAGATATAAAGGAAGTATACATAGAAGGGATTCAGCAACTGTGGGATTTGATATGCAAGAGGGGGGAATCTTGGGATCTCTATGCATATCAAGGGGACAGTTACAATAGAGGACTTTTGTGTTCAAAAGCTTACTTCTGATTAAGACTGCAACTACCTAAAATTCTTTTGCTTTTCTTATCCTAGAAAGCCAGTGGTCACGTGCAATATGTCACGGTCTAAACTCAGATCTATTCTTGCTGGTTACATAAGCAATGTGAATATTAATGTGCTCCATCTCAGTTTCCCTGTATATGGTGTGGCTATGATAATAGGACTTAGCCTTTTTCTTTATGGTGTTTGGAGATCACATCTTGTTTTGTGGCTTAGGCTCTCCTTGAACTCATGACCCCGAGGCATTGGAATTACAGGTGTGGACCACTGTATTTAGCTTTTACCTTGGATTTTTGAGAATTAAGTGAATAAATCCACACATAGTACTTAGCACAGCAGCAGTCACATAGTAAATTTACCTGTATACCCAAGTCCCTATCTTTTTATTCATGTTGTTGGCATGGGCCATCTCCCTAGCACATGCTCTTCAGTGATGCTAATTAGGCAAGCACTCCCACTTGCCTTGGCATGTTTTATGGATGACCCAAACTGCAAACACCAACATGTCTAAAACATATGCTCTCTGCTTTGTTTAATTTCAGATACCAAAATATGCCTACACACAGGGGTATGTGCATAAAGAAACACATGTACTCTTTTTTTTTTTTTTTGGCCTGGTAGAACTAGGCTTCTGTGATGTGTCTTTTCCTCCCACATTTACCCCTACATGGCTGGCAAATCTCCTAATTATTCTCATCCACTCCCTCCCTATAAACCTTTTGTGTGTATATCTTGGCACACATCCATTTGCTTCTGCCTAGCTCCTTCCTATCATTCTTTTTTTTCTGCCACCCCACTCCCTCCTCTTCACAACTCTTTAGAAAAATTAGTTAAACTATACACTTTTATTATTAATGTACATTTATGAAAAATTCTTCACAGTTACAAAAGTGCATGGTTATAAAATAATTTCCATACAAAGGTTGGCATCTTCCCTACTCCTCCCTAACCCTCCCACCATCAGACTCCAGGGCTTAGGAAAACTGAGAGGTTTATGGACCTAGCCCCTGGCCAGCACTGTGCTTTATATAAGGCCCGTGGGTCTTGCCTCCCTTACTTCCCTTTGCCTCCTTCCTGGTACGCAAAATCAGACAAGGTTCGCTAGCTTTGAGGAAGCTGTTCCTTTGAGGAATGGATAAAGGTATTTCCTTGTGCTTTTCTACAACTGAAAAGAATGACAGCAAATGTGTCTATTGAGAAAATGGAGTTGTTGGCTTTACCCAAAGGTTAGAGTGAAATACATGTACTGAGCTCTTTAAATCCATTACACCAAACCCTTAACTGAAACACAAAGACTCTATAGCATTTCTGGGCAACCTATTTCTTCAAGTATCCATGGGAATCCTGGTGAGAATGGAAAAGGAGGTGGTGTCTTGAGGAAAATCAGAAGTACATGGTCCAGAATGGTGTGATGCAGGCATGGGGCCTTTTCTAAAGAATAATTTTATTGTCCAGACCTTGACCACCATAATCTTATTGGTTAGTTATGATCTGATAAGATCTTCAGATACAGGATCAAGGAAACTTCTGTGAAGGGGATGAGACTTTAGGAGATAGAGGAATACAGAGGGAAGATGGGAGGAACCAGGTTTTCATTACATTGTCTCAATTACAGTATTGGATCTTTTCATATTTCTGTGCAGCCAGACAACCAGGTAGGGTCCATATTTGTATATCAACCTGATAGCTGAGTGGCTTGTGTCAGAGAACTGAAATGAAGTTCCTAGAGAATGTTCTCCAAGTCAGCAGATAACCAACATAAATGGACCACAAATACACATACACACAAACAAAAGCCCCGTCATATGCATGTTAGATAGTGTGGAAAAAACTAGATGAAACTTCATGGGAACATCATAATACCGTCTGTGGTTACAGGATATGCAAACACTTGTGTAAAGGATTTGTATATTATTTTTAGACACTTAGTTCTGACAGCCTGAACAGGATGGTGGTGGTAGTGGATGTTTCCCTTTTTGTACCTTAGTACCTTCTAGAAGCTGGAGAAACATTTTCTTGATATATCTTGTTTAGAAGTCTGCCATTAATAGAGATCAAATTGTGCCACTCAAAAGGACACTTGATCTCAAGAGGCATTTGGTGTTTTGTCTAATTCTAATTTTATGCAAAACAGAGTAGTATATATTAAAATATGTTAACTATAATTCAGGAAAAGTTAAGTGTCCAGGAGATTACTGTAAGTGAGCATGGTGTTCCTCTATGGAAGGTTAAATGATTTTTTTAAAATCAGGAATACTATTTCTAAAGGTTCCTTTCCAAAACACCATAGGTGATAAGCTTAACTGGTGGATGATAGCTGGAGTCCCACCATTGTTGGCCACAGTTGGGTGGTTGGGAAGAGCAGGGTATAATTCTATGCTATATTTTATAGGAACAGACAGTACAAGCAAGAGTGAGGGCAAAAGCTTCCGGGGACTGTTGTGGTTGATTAGATCAATGTAGGTGAGTTGGATGATGACATAATCTCCTCTTTCATGCATTTTAGGGCTACTTAGGGGATGGATGATAAATGCTTGCTAGGGTTGGAGTCAAGATAAGAGCTCTTCTTTCATTCTTACACAAGCAAGCCTTGCCAACAATACCATGCCTTAAGTCTCCCCATCTTCTACAGAGGATCTCACCTATCATTTTTCTCAGATCCCTCAGTTTCTCTTGTAATACAATACACAGTAGGAGCTACATCTCTTGCTTTCCAAGATCTGATTAAAAAATGACTGTCAACACGGCCACCAGTTCTAATGATGGACTCATACATTTGAGAAGGTATCTTTCGTTTAGGTGTCACTTGTACAGTCTCTATGTTTTAGAGGCGAGCATGGCCCCACTGTGAGCACGATCTGGGCACAGTTGGGCTTTACTGCCTTTTATTGATTTTTGTATTACTGTATTAATGACTGTTGAGTTCTAGGACTCCGCTATGCGGGCTTCCAGGACATTCTCTTCCTCCAAATGCTCGAGGAAGTACTGGAAAGAGAACCAAGGCAGAACTGAGTTCAGTGTTAGGATGAAGCCATACTCAATCTTAAGCCTCGACTTTCCCATCTGTAAATAGTGTTTTGATTTGTTTCTCACACAGGGCAGTGAGAAGTCAAGGACAGGAATGCAGAAGAAGCTCCCTGGATTTTCCAGTGCCCAAGGAGACAGGGAGGATTTCAATGAAGCTGATGACATAGATGAGGAAGATGAAGATGACCACAAAGATAGTAATAACCATGTTTCCACAGAGTCCTCAGTTTCTGACTGATTAGATACAGATTTCCTCAATGGACTCAACTGTCATATTTGTTTATTTATCCAGATAACTTGGATAAGTAGCCCAGCTCTCTACAATGAATTCAGCTGCAAAGCAAGGACAGTAAAAACTATCTGGCAGTGAGAATGAGAAGAGATGAGTCAGAAAATATAACCATGCCCAGAGGAGTGCCTGGGCCTTATCAGCAACTTCATTAGCATAGCTCAAGTTTGAATTTATATAGCTTGGGAAGGAATTGTGATGAAGAATACTGATTGTATTTTGATCATGACATAGCATGCTGCCTTATCCTTTCTGAGCCTGATGACCTCATTTGCAAAATGGGAACAATAAATCCCCCTGAGTGGGCTGGTGTATGTCTGAAAAGAAACTGGGGAGGAGGGAACTTATCACACTGCCCAACACTAGCAAGAATCAGTAATTAATAGTTCTCCTTTATGCTCAAATGAATGAGTTGCTTAGAAGAAAAGACATACGGTCCCATGGCTGTGAATGTGGTGGCTTTGTCCTCCTGCCCTGGGTACTGACCTGCTAGGATCTGAGCCCTACATTGCACTTTCCTGGTGGGTTCCTTTGGTGGAAAGAACAATCACACAATTGGGGTCTCAGGGTGCTAAGACTTTTGCTTCCCTCCTTGTGGGGCCTTCTGCTTTCTCTGTGAAGACAGGTCTTGACTCAGAGGCAGAGATAGGGATAGAAGGGAGGGTGATGAGGGTGATTACCCTCAGCCCATTGTCTGGGACCTCACCTACAGGCTGCAATTGGGGGCAGTGTAGGGAAGTCAGTGGGAGTTCATTTCACCCCACAGTTGCTAGTGGGAGGAGGTCAAGAAACAGGTATGGGGGCCATCTCACTTCTGGAGTGCAATGGCAGGTAGCAGAGGGGACTGAAAAATTGGGTGTCAGAGGGAAGGTTTTGCTTTTTCATGTATCTCCTCTACACACTCAGGCCACAGGGAATAGTGTGCTGCCCCCAACATACCCTGCCTGGTATGTCCTGTCATTTGCTGTGTTAATATTTCTTTATCTACTTAGCAGACTATTCCTGCAATTCTTGGACTTTTTGAGGCACAGTTGATGGACCCTTCTCTGGGCTTCCCTAACACTGTGCTCAGAGCATTGGCATTTTGTCATAAAAGGATGTTTTGGAATTGCTTTCTTTTATTAAAAGTAAGTACCTCAAGGGAAGGAGCTGGATTTGTCTTTCATTCCCAGTTGCTAGCACAGTGCCAGGCCCAAGGTGGATAGATGCTCACACAAAGTTAGCTTTCCAACCTCATTTGAGCTATGATGGAGGTGGCCAGGGTATATGACCCAAAGTGTCCAGTGGTCAACAGCAGTGGCAGCAGCATGGAGAGATGAGAGGCACCTGTGTCAAATCTCTTCTTCTTCACTGGCCTTGCTCCAACGGTGACAGCAGTTGGCTGTGATGCCCAGGAGGAAGTTGGTGGCCACAGAAGCGATGGAGACCACAAAGCCCACAAATGCGATGAAGAGGTAATCATCCAGGGTCAGAGTCAGGTGGCAGGCCTTAAAGCTCTCTTCAGTGAGTGAGAAGAGAGGGGCACCCTCAACTTCGGGGGGGCCCCGACATTCAGCCAGCTGAGAATCTGCAACACACAACCCAGGCAGGGTGAGGCTCCTGTAGGAAAGAAGGGATAGGAGTGTCTCCCACCCCTTCCAGAGAGTCACTGAATTTCTTCTATGTGCCTCAAATATACTTATCATCTCAATAACCCACAAAGCATTTTTGCCTGATTTTATAGATGTGAAAAATTGCTGCTCTTAGACCTGAGTATTTGTGGAAATCTTACAGTTACTTCCAATGGTGGATCTAGGGCTTTCGTGAGACATGAAACATGAAGTCTGGACATGCTACTTTCTACTCCATACATTCTTTTGGCTTCCCTTTTTCACACAGAGAGGAAGCCAACAGCTCCCTTAGGGTGCCAAGGACACTTTCCAAGCCCTTTATTTTGTTTAGTTTTTCTGCTCCAGAGACACATGTCTCTATCATTCCTCCATGGCTCCAAGTATGACTCCTCTTAGATAGAAAGGAACTATCTCTGTATTTTCCCCTTGTGATGAAGATTCTTCTCTAGGTCTCTGTGTAGCTCACTCTCTCACTTCCTTTGTGACTTTGTTCAATGTAACCTGCTTAGTGATGCCTTCCCTTGGGAACACCCTGTACTTGCTTCTCCCACACTCACTATCATACCTACTCTGCTTTATTTTTCCCTCTGGTGTCCTTGCCTGACATATGCTCCCCCCACAGTAGCCTTAGCACCAGAACAGCATCCCTTTGTAGTAAGCACCCAATGGGTCTTTCTTAAATGGATGTGGTACTTTAAATTTAAAAGCCTTGTGTCTTGTTACTAACTCAAGCATGCACATGTACTTTTATTTTTTCCTGGATAACACAGTCAAGAGCATAGACTCTAGAGCTACCATCTCATCAGTTGTGTGACTGTGGATATTTAAGCCCCTCTGTATCTGTCAAGTGACAATAATCATAATATCTGCCTTCTGGATTTGTAGTTAGGATACAGAGAGGTAAGTAAAACCCACAAATGTTTCTGGTGCCTACTAAGCACCAGGCAAAGTGCCTTTTTATAATGATCACAGTGGATCTCTCAGGTGTCCCCTGGGGTTATATTCCGTACTCAGACATCTGAGGGAAGAGGCTGCTAGTTTGGTGGGATGGCTTTTCTCTCCAGCCTCGTGGACCCATCCTTTGGGTCACTTCAACAGATTCACGATGGCTGTCAGTGGTCTAACCTTAGTTTTTCGAGACTAACAGTGGTTTTCTGGGGGTAGTTCCACCTATAGATCTTGGCAGCAGCCTCAGAGTAACACCTATGTCCCGGGTCAGGACGAAAATACTAGTTTAGTATTGGACAAATCTTGTTTATTTTTTCCTTCTTGTCTCTCATGTGTTGCCTTTATACGAAGGGAATAATCCAATCTAAATTTTCCAAGTGAGTCAATGTGAGGTTTTAAAAATTATAGTGTACACCACCAGAGAAACTAGGAAACAAGGAGGACCCCAAGAGAAGAACTCATGGTCCCCAAAGAAGGGGAGGGGGACAAGAACCCCTGGCAAATTGGGAACAGAGAGGGAGAGGAGGGAGGTGGGAAGGGGAGAGGGGAAGAAGGAGAGGGGGGCAGAGAACAGGAGAGATCAGGAGGACTGAGACAGGGGAGGAATGAAGGAGGGCAAGAAAGGAGTTGCTTGATAGAGGGAGCCAATATAGGTTTGGAGAGATGTCTGGCACTGGGGAAATGTTTGGGGATCCACAGGGATGACCCCAACTAAGAATCAGGCAGTGGTGGAGAGGCTGCCTTTGATGCCCTTCCCCTGTAATGAGATTGATGACTACCTTGGTTACCATTCCTAGAGCCTTCATCCAATAGCTGATGGAAGCAGAAACAGGCACCCACAGCTAAACACTGAGCAATACTCCTGGAATCCAATTGTGGATAGGGAGGAGGGATGAGCAAAGGAGCCAAGACTGTGCTGGAGAAACCCACAGAAACAGTTGACCTGACCTTGTGAGAACATGGAAACCCTAGTCACAAAGCTAGGGAACCAAGGCCTCTGATTGTGGGTGCCGGCTAGGAAGACTGGGCAGTCTATGGGACCTCTAACAGTGGAGCCAGTGTTTATCCCTAGTGCACAAATGGACTTTGGGAGCCATTCCCTATGGAGGGTTACTATTGCAGCTCAGATACACAAAAGAGAGCCTAGGCCCTCCCCCAAATGATGAGAAGGACTTTGAAGGTTCCCTGTGGAGGACTTCACTGTCCTTGGGGAGTGGATGAGGGTGGGCTGGGGGGGGTCAGTGGGGGGCATGGGAGAATGAGAGGGTGAGGGAATGGAGGAATTGATATGTAAAATAAGATTGTTTCTGAAATAAAAAATAATAAGAAAAATATATTGTATAAAAATACAGACTGTGTCGATATTATATATTCATTACAGTTTTTGAGGGCAAAAAACCAAAGTGATGGGTCTGGAATGATCCTTTTGACAGATGGATATGCATACAGACTGTTAGCCTTAGAAGTGTGTGTGTGTGTGTGTGTGTGTGTGTGATCATTTGTGTCTGCGATAAGGATGCAATTTTCCCCAAGTCATGGGTTGAGTCAATCCCAGTATGCTGTTTGCACAGGACCCTGTACTTTGATTAGGTCCTGGTCGTATCTAGAGTTGACTCACAAGAAGCTCTCTACTGGAAACTAGAAGTTATCAGCTTCCAGTGTTGATTGTGTATGTGTGTAAAACTGCAGTGAAACAATGCAGATCAGCTAGAGGGGGCTGAGGGCACACAGGGTGGGAGGCTAAGGGCTGACAAAGTTCCCTGCAAACTGAGAGATCAATCTTGAAATCAGATTGTATCCCAGTAGTTCTCTCAAGTCTATGTTTGAATGCTGTCACCTAGCATAGATAATTGGAGAATCTCACTAGCAGAAAAGAGAGGAAGTGATTCAAAAATGTTGAAATGGATGACATCATCCAGGTCTACATGCTCTAGCAAGACTTGGCTTCTAAGACGAAACCTAACCTGTCCTCTGTGGAGAAGGATGGGGCCTCGAGGACCACCACTGATCTTTGTGGCTCAAGGCCTCACTTGCAGTGATGTCTGAGGCTGCACTGCCAGGATCTGAGGGTCTCCTGTCTCTTGCAGGTTTGGGTCCCTTGCCTGCATTCATGTGGAAGCCTTAACCTGTGGGAACAGGGCCTCTCACACCTGCTGAGAGTTCAGGTCCCTTGCCTGAACTGATATGTGAGTCTACAATGATGGGAGCTGGTCTCATCTCCTCTCTGAGACAGCCGGGCTTTCTGCAGGGCAGCAGGACCCCAGAGATCTCAGCAGAGAAGGAATCCCTCCTGTGCTGACAGCTGAGTGTCCCAGAAGGCTCTTTCTGTCAATAGTGACAAGAGAGAGAGGCACAGCTTGCAGAGAGGTTGGGTTGGGTGGGAGATGGCTCTAGGCAGCCTCTCCATCCTAGTCCCCACCATCACCCCATCTCAGTCTCCAGCTATTTTGGTCCTGGAGAACTTCCTCCCACAGCTCTGTGGAAACACTGGAATCGTGACCCACAGCCCCCCTAAGTTATTTTAGTCTTGGACTCCCCACTCAGTCCTCTCCCTCTTGCCTCATTCGGCATTGTTATTTCGCCCCCAAGTATGCTGCACTTGGGCTTTAGGGAATTCCTGGGACGGGGCTGCGGCCACTCCTATTGTTCTGATGCCAGGTACACCGGCCAAGACTGGGTGCTATCCCATAAGTGCACTGGAGGCTGGGGCCATGGTTCAACTTGATAGCCTCTCAATACCACTGGATGAGGCCAGGCCCCATCAAACCTCCATGATGCCCGCTCTTTCAGGCCTCAGGCCACTCTCTGGTTCGGACTCTGCAGTTAAACTGCCTTGTTTCAGCCTGTCTTCCCAGATGCCCACCCTATGCATAAACCTTGGAGACTCTGCTAAGGCCACCTGGCCAGCGCAGATCTTGGCTGTTTAGTTCAGGGCCTGATTCTTGACAGTATGGCCAGAGAACAGCTAGATTGCCAGGGCTTGAAGTCTGGCTCTGACGAGCAGTGATTGTGTAGTTCTGACCAAGCTATGAAACATTTCTGTGCTTCTGTTTCCTCCTCATTCAGGTTCTCATGAGGACAGGAGGAGTCAACACATGAAATATGCTTAGAATAAGGCCTGGCACATAGTAAGAACTAAAATAAATAGGATTAGTCATGATTGTTTCTTTCAGGGTTTTCTCTGCACTGATGAGACTTCGAGTAGAGTAGAAGTCAAATGAATGTGTTTGTGTCTACAGCTCTGCCAATTTCTAAGTGAGTGACTCTGGGCAAGCCTTCTCCTGGCTCTACATCTCAGCTTCTTCACCTGTAGAATGGGATAATAGAAACGGGGGGGGGTGTTCCGCTGAGATAACGTATGCCAAAGCCTGCTCACTGCAAAAGTTCGACAAATACCACCAATGACCGGCTTTCCCCCATTTGGCTTACCGTCTCTAGAATAACAGGCACCATAGAGGCAAGGGACATCTGGTTCTTCAGCAAATGAATTTCTCTAGCACTCAGCATGCATCCCATGTGTTCAACAAATACTTGTTGAACAAAAAATGAGGCGTTGTAGAAAGGTGAGGGCACACAGTATCGCCACCATTTTTAAAGGGAGACATTACTTCTGGAAACCCTCCCCCTGTGACCAGTCCAGACACCCCTCTTACCCGCTGTACAGCGCTGTATCCGATTCCGCAGCCACTTCAGTAAGGGCTCCATGGTGCAGCCGCACACCCATGGGTTACCCCCGATCTGCAGGGTCACCAACCCTGGGAGGCCCTCAAGGGCTTCAAGACTCAGGAAAGCCAGTCCACCGTAGCTGAGGTCCAGGTCTCTGAGATGCACGAGGCCCTGGAAGGCTTGGGGGTGCACCCTCCGCAGCCAGGGGTTGTGGCTCAAGTCTATATGGACCAGTCCATGAGCCTCCCGGAACATGTCAGCTGGCACATGGCTGAGGTTGTTATAGCTCAGATCCAGGTGTGCTAAGCGCTTGGCATGGAGAAAGAGGCCTTGGGGCAGCTCCAACAAGGAGTTGTTGCGCAGATCCAGCACACGGAGCTCCATGTAGCAGGTAAGATAGCCCGGCGGCACCGCTGCAATGCGGTTGTGGGCCAGGCTGAGGTTGCGGGTGTCCATTGGCAGGTCTGGGGGTACAGAGAACAGCCGCTGGCTGCTGCAGTCTACTACTTGGTTATGGCATGTACAAAGGACTGGGCAACTGGTACCGGCATCAGAGTGCATAACCCCAGTTGCCAAGAGGAGTAAGGCCAGCAACAAGGCTGAGTGGGGAGGCCCGGGCCAGGGAAGCTGGGCCCAGGTGTCACCCATCTTTGGCAGCTGGCAGCAGCAATGCTGTAGGGAGCCCATGAGAGCCGTGTCCCTAGGTTCAACAGTCAGGGTATAGGGAGACTGCTACATTAGAGGCCTGAGTCTGGAAGGTGGGGCTTCTGAGAATGTGCTATCATGGTTTACAACTTCCCCAGGAGCCTCTAAGCACCCAAGGACTTCCTAAGATCCACAGGATGTCCCTTGGTGGAGCCTGGGAAGCAAGGACCCAGTTGAGACACCCCAGGGTCCGAAAGGATGATCAAAGCTTGAGAAATAAGGGGAATAAGGATGAAGCTGGAGCAGCTGTCAGCAGGTCCTGCAAGGGTCCCTGCAGACCTTTTGTGGCCCGGTCACCCATGCCTGCTGGGTGCTTCCTCTTGGAGCTGAGTCTGAGAGGTGGGAGGGATGATGTGAGAGAGATGAAAGGTGGCCTTTAAAGGTCCTGGCACTTCTTCTAAGAAACTTAAGCTCTGTCCCAGGTCTGGGACTCATTAAGAAGTCATACTTGCACCTGGATCTCCAGCATTCAAGGTCTCAGAGGTGGTCCAGTGGGCATGAGTTCACAAAAGACCTGGGGCCAGGGATTTAGGAAGGGGTCCTGGAGAAGTATGTTCCCATGGCCTCCTGAAAGCCTGGCTCTTTAGTCTCATTGGCCTCTGAAATCTCAAGGGGTGCTCTTTGCTGGCTAGGGAGGGGTGAGTCCCAAGTGACACCCATTGTCTGGGCCACTGAATCTGGAAAAAGCCATGAGTTCTAGAGGCATAGGTAGGGGTCAGTTAGGAAAGCATTATTTGTGTCTTCAATCTGTCACATAGCTGTACACTCAGCAGGCAGATGCAGAATTCACTCTGTCAACAAGAAAAGCATTCAGGCAGAGAAATCAAGTGTCCCCTACATTCCTGCCCCCTTACCTAGGTCCTTTGCCTTACCTCACTCCTCTCTTATTCCTCACTTATTTCTTCTTGGAACCTCTCTGCCCCCAACCACAAAGTTCTCCGCTTGCTATCTTTCAGATAAGGACCACAGTGAACTCAGAATCCAGACTCTAGTCGCCTACTAACTGTATCCACCTGACCTGAAATCCTTCTACCAGGTTTCTGTCCGGAGCTGGATACATTTTTTTTTCTGTTACTCATAGCTCCACCCTGTGAGTACCAAACACCCTACCCTGAACAACTCCCTAAGGAAAACATGCATCCAAGCTCTGGTGGTTTGTATACCCCTCTCAAACACTTTCAGTCTCTCTCTCCCCCCTCTTTCTTACACACACACACACACACACACACACACACACACACACACACACACTTTTGTAGTTTTCCTCCAGCATCTTTCTGTACACACTCCTGCAGAACCCCCTCCTCAGTGTGCCCCCAGCATCTTTTATACTACAGCATCTCCCCTACCCCAGCATCCTTTTATGCTCCAGCCTCCCTCTTAAGCCCACACACATACTTGGTCTGGCAAAGTGATGGAGAACAATATCCCACCAGGGCCTCACCCCGATGCTCATCGGTTAACCTCTGTGGCCCCAGCTTCCCTTTTACCCGCCTGCTGTCCTCACTTACCCCCCGGCCCCCGCCCCCATCCCTTTATCCCTTGGGTCCATTCCCACCCTGTTCTCCACTGCTTCGGAGCACCGGTTTCAACCACTGGGAAATCACCCTGGCACCCCTTATACAGATTCATTTTTTCTCAGCTTCAGGGTCTCCTGCTATACTCCCACAGGCCCCCAGGAGACTACTCACTCTGTTCCAAGGACACAGACATCAATCTGCAGCAGACAAACGGCTCTGCCTCCCTCATCCTGGAATCCCCGCTCCTTTGCTTGCTAGCTTCCGAACAGAACAGATTGCCTACTCGGCTCTTCCCCTCCCCCGACTCTCCTCTTCCACGGCGCCTTCTGCGTTTTCCTGTCCTGTGGTCCCTGTGTCCCTTCTTTTATGCTGAAGGGAAATCTGAGAGAGGATGCTTAGAAAGTTCACAGAATCTGAATGTCTCTTGGGAAACTCAGCTGGTGCTGAGGCTGCCTCGGTGTGTGGCCAGAGCCAGATCCTCCCCTCCCTCCTCCCTCTCTCCCTCTTTCTCCCTCCCTCCATCCCTCTCCCCTCCTCTCTCTCTTTTCGCTCCCCCTTTTTTCCTCGAGGGCCAGGTAATGACGTTTCACTGTCTCTTAGCAACTGCCTCCACATCTCTGAGCAACAGGAGAACTGGCTGTAGACCCCGTCAAGATGAGAGGAGAGAATGAAGTACTCCTGGCGAATTCACAGCCACCCTCAGGGTCCTAGGGGTAGGGCAAGAAAGGGGAGGGGATATGTAACCCTAGGACAGGAGTTAGGGGAGAGGAGCCAGCAGGAGAGAGAAAGCAAGACAGCTGTTCATCAGGAAAGGATGGAATGGGCAGAGCATTGGTGTGGGATCTTAGATGGAGCAAGGAGAGTTTAAGTACATCAGACTCCAAAGGGATAGAAGAGAGGGCTTAATATGTAGAAAGGAATTGAATGGAGTAGAAAAAAGCAAAATGGATGAAAGCAATGAAGGCAAGAATCAGTTGGAAAGAAGAAAGGAGCACGGTTGGTTCTCAGTGTCTGCTCACCTGATAGGCAAACACTCTCTGTTAGCTGCTCTATTACATCTCCAGGTCTGAGTGTCATTTGGTTCCCAGCACTAGGTGACTGGATGACAGCTTATTAGGAAGAATTTTAGGAGAATTGTTTTCTCTGCTCCTTCTCTCTAAGTTTTTACTCCATGAACTCTCTGGAGTTAGGAGCTTTGGCTGGAGTACCAATTGACCTGAGAACCCTTGGGATGCAAAGAAACAATAGTCTAGTTCAGGTGAGAGTAGCTGGACCACTACAGATACTTGGATATATCATTAGGGAATGGAAATAGCCAGGAAAGTATTATGATCCTGGGTTAGGGTGATGACTCAGCAGGTAAAAACTGCTGGAGTTTCCATCTTCAACACCCATGTAGATGCCTGGCATCTGTGGCAGCATCCCTGTAATCCCAGTGCTTGGAAGGTAGAGATGTGCTCCCCAGGGCAATCTAACTCGACAGGCTACATGAATTGGGGAGCTCTGGGTCCAAACAATAGTCCTTGCCTCAATGTCCAAGGTATAGAATTATTGTGGATGACACCTCTGGCCTCCGCATGCATGAATAACATATGCACACACATGTACACATACATACATGTGCCCCTATAATATGAACATGGGCACACACATGCATGTTTACTGTACATGGTACACATGCTAAAAAGAAATTTATGCTTATTTCTTCTTTCTGAGAGCCCCTGAATCCTTTTTGTTTTGTTCCTTTTAAGATTCTCATCCTCTCACATCCTACGTTGAGTTCATGTGAAGGTGAAATGTTACAACATTTCTTTTCCTTGAGCAAGCCTCTTTATCAGTGGGTCAGCATTTACACACTGGCTTGGCTAGTCGCTTCAATTAAATGGCTGACTTCTCCCCGCTTTCCCTTCTCCCTTCCCCTCCTCTCCTTTCTCCTCTCTTCCTTTCTTCTCTCTTAGACCCCCTTTCCCCCATGGGAGTTTTGCTATGTAGTCCATACTGACCTTGTATTCTAAACCTTCCTGCCTCCGGGGTGCTGTTGGATCACAACCACCACACTTGATTCCTTTTCCTTTAAAGAATAACTTTTTGAACTTTTACTGTGTGCTACATAGTTGACAAGATGGTAGATCTCTGCTTTAGGAGATGGAGGTAGACTTGGGAGGTGGCTCAGTTGGTAAGGTGCTTGCCTTAGCATCCATGTGAAGGGTCTTAGCATCTATGTGAAGAGCTGGAGCAGTGATGCAGAGCAATATGGTAACCGACCGTCTTACAACCACTCACGCTCTGACGCTACAGTACAAACTTCCGAGGTTAGCGTCTCTTCCATGCTTAAAGTAGGGGTGGTGGCTGTTAAACCTTATGTATGAGTTTAGGAATAAAATACTGATCCTAACCCAACTATGACTGTGGAGGGTTGGCCTCTGGAATGCTAGACTGTCATCTCACTCATTAGCAGAAAAATGCTTAGAAACAAAATCTCACTGGAGAGAAGCATGAAAGGAAATCATGAAAGTCAGAGAAAGGTATTCACAGTTAAACATTTAGTGTTGACTAAAAATAAGACAAAAATTTGGGATTTTCCTCCTTTGCATGATGAGACAAGATCCTCTGAATGTGAGTGTCAGCGAGAAGGCCTGGGCAACCTATGGGGCCCTGAGCTGTGGATCAGTGTCTATCCCTGGTATACAAACTGTCTTCATGTGCCTATAGCACAAAGAGAGATGCTCTCTCAGCCTGGACTCTTAGGGGAGTGCCTTGACCCTACCAAGAGTAAAATGACAGACTCTAGATATCCCCCATGTGGAAGGATTTGGCAATAGGGTGGGAGGGAGGGGGGAAGGGGAGTGCGGGAAGAGGGGAGGGAGAGGGAACTGGGATTGACATGTAAAGCAAGCTATTTAAAATTAAAATAAAAAATGAAAAAAACACTAAAAAAAGAAAATCAATTTCATATATATTGCATTTTGTTTACTTTCATCACCCCTCTTTAATCTCTCTCCCATCCCATCAACTCCTCTCTCTTTCCTACAAGTCCCTTTTCCACACAAAAGTCTTACCATTTTGTGTGGGGACCCACATAATTTAACTAGGGCTATTCTCATAACCACAGGTGTGAAACTGCTCATTGGAGCCTACAGAGTTCACCAGGAGTACACAAATGACAAGGACTACCCCTCACCAAGTACTTATCAAGGACCAAAAGGCCTCATGAGCCCTTACCCTATCCATAGGACTGAAATGAGAGTTCTCCATGTATAAGTATCAAGTTTATGTTTTGACACTGTGTTCGGTGGTTACCTACTTCTCTTTGCAAAATGGCAGTCTCTTGCACAGCAGATAATGGAGGTTCAATTAGCAATATGAATCATGACATATCATATCTTTTCAGGGTTTCTTGCAAGTTTTGGAGACTCTGGACTTTCAAGAATTTACTCTATTGATGGGGTGTAGCTCAGCTGATAGAATGTACAGTGAGCATATATGAGCCCCTGGATTTAGTTCCCAGCCTTTCATAAACTGAGAATGGAGGTACATGTCTGTAATCACAGCACTCAGGAGCTGAAGGCAAGAGGATTTGAATTTCAAGGTCATCTTCATTTAATTTGAGATTAGTCTATACTACATGAGACCTTTTCTGGAAAGGAAAAACAAAACTTATTCTATTGTGAAAATGTGTAGAAATCAGTAAGGGAGCTGGAGAAAATGCAATGAGTTCAAAAATCATTTTCATTATTATGATTTCTTGAATGTATGACAAATTAGTTGTAACAATGACAGAAACTTTTAAACAGATGAGGATTAATTTAATATACCACGTACAAATTTGCTCAGGGAAAATTATGACACGTTAGGAGAATGATGATGGAGGGGAAAATGGAAAGTTGATTTCTCATATTGCTGGGAAAGTTTAAAAATAGGAATGATGGCTTTTTGCTAGATTATCATAACTTAATGAAGCATTTAGCAGAAACTGGGGAGCTGGAAATGAAAGCCATCTGGGGAAAACCTGGTCAAGAATGTGCAAATGATGCTATTAAGACAATGGTGATGATGACAGTATTGGGATACGCTTAGAATAATGACTAGAGATTTACTTAACTAAAAGGTTAAAGTACAGATTGCACACTGAAAACCACTCAATGGCATTATTAAATATGAGTGCTTTGAAAAAAATGACCACAGATGTACTGTGCTTTTAGCAAGTGGCTCTCACTACCAGCAGATAAAAGTATGAAAAATGAAAAACAAGCCAACAATGTTGAACACAATCTCAGAGTAAGAATGTTATTAAGATACCAGGTCCATGCCTCATTTTTTCCCTATACAGCAAAGACAATAACAAAAACACAAGTCAGGAGGAGAGGAGAGTAACACATTAATCCCAGCTGTGAGAGGAGGCATCTTCTTGTGTGAGGAAATAGACAATGCCATTAGGAATAGGATTGCATTTGTCAAAAACATAGCATAAAAAGACAAGGCTTTACAGAAATAAATGTGGCAAAACAAGAAAGAATGGGGAGAAACTCAATGAAAAATAGACAATGTACTGCCACAATTATTATAAGTATTGTTTTGTGAAACTGAACTGGGAACTTCTGTTGCGGATCCACTAAAACCTCTTTCTTTACCTTGCAAGTAAGGGCTTTGGTATAATTTTAATGCCTGACTCAGGTTATTAGTTAAATGACCCACAAAAAACACTTGTCATAGTGTTTGGCATGTGGTCAACTCTCAACAGACCTTTTACTTCTTTATTTGTGACCAGTTTCCAATTTCTTTTCTTTGGCTCCAGGATCTGTACTCTAGTTCTTTAACTGTGTTATTGCTGTTGTGTGTATGTGAGCGTGTAGTATATGTATCGATACATATTCATGTGCAGATGTTTAGAAGCCAGAGGCAGACAGTACCTTACTCTATCACTCTCCATCTTATTTTTAAGACGGAGTAATTTACTAAACCTGGAGTTCAGCAGTTTGGCTAGGTTGGCTGACCAGCAAGCCCTAGAAATCCCTCAATCTCTGCCTCACCAGCACTGGGACTGTGGGTTTGCACTATTGCTCCCCGCTTTTTATATGTTGGAGATGTGAACTGAGGTCTTGTGTTTGTGGGAAGCACTTAATCATCTTTTCAGGTCCAGGTCTGGATCTTTTTGACATTTTCTTCCTCTCCCTGCTTTTATATCCTCTAAATTTTCCCTTTGGTACCAGACTTGGCATTCTATACAATTCCTGTCCACTTGAGTGCAGGTGTGTGTATTCATGTATAGATGTGTGTAATATGTACAGTGTATGTGCATGCAAAATTGTAAATCAGTGTGCATAGGTATGTGTGCATTGTGCCCTTTGGATGTGTGAACAAAAGAGTACAGGGAAGGAGGATGTGGCTGATTTGGAAGCTTAAACAATAAATTTCATGATTATCTGTCTCAAGCAGAGGTACACTCATACACAATGTGGTAGGTATCTGCACCCACTGAGC